ATTCGAGCCGTTCATGCCAGACTGGGGAGAGAGGTGTTGTAATAATGTAAAATATGTGAAAAATAATGTGTTTTTCGAACAACCTAGTATGAGAGCCTGTTCTAGTACACCCCCAAAACAAAATCAAGACTTCGTAAAAGAGCATAATAGGACCCCTTTAACTCAATATTACAGGTTTTTGAAATATGGTAACTTTTTAATGTTGTGTAAGCTAATGTTGAGCAAAATCATCTGCTAAAATCTACTGGAGATTCAGATATTCATACATACGTATAACTACGGATGCAGAAGGGAAGTTAACTTGCTCTTGAGTGTTCACGGACCGACTCGGACCATTCCAATATGGCGGACGACTTACTTGGAAACAGCCACTAATTAGGCATCTATGTATTTCTATCTATGGTGTAGTCAATATTTAATTACATCTGTGTAGGTTGCCAAACAACCTAATAATACATCCAGAAAGACATCTAAGAGAAGTTATTGTTTTTTTTGGATCCCTGTCTGAACAATTACCATAATCACTACCACAGAGTTACTGAAAAAAAAAGCTGATTCACCAGTTAGGCCAGCACCACAGCAGTACAAATCAGAAAATTAAGCTGGTATTTTCAGCAAAGTAAGCTCACAATTCAACCCCTCACTGACATTATACAGACAAAGATGAATTGTTAAACATTTAGAAGCACTGGTTATCACTGTTTGTTGAGGAGGAGGGGTGGACGGTGTGCCTAGGAGAGCAGCAGCAGCACACCTACCTTCTCAGCCTGGGCTTCCAGGGACTTCAGGTTGTTGGTCACAGTTTTCAACTCTTCCTCAAGCTCAGAGCATTTGCTGGTGTTTTACACATAGGTCGCAGAGGAGAGGAGGAGGAACAAGAGGATGAAAGGTACAGTGAGAGGAGGAGAACCAGAAGCAGGTTGGAACAGAGGTACATCAGGGAACCGGAAGAGAGCAAAGCATGCAAGTTGTGAGGAGTTACACCGTAAGAGAAGAAATCGAGTTGCAGCATTCCTGCTAAGTTAGAAGGGCGCGAAACAAAAAAAAAGATGGACCAAATAAAGCTGCATGGGTAGCAAGTGAGGGAAATGGTAGTTTTGCCTACTACAGAGCACACAAGGCCAAGTGGGACAGTTAGATGTATGCGACCTAATGACTGGCGTGCAGTACCTGTTCTTCTGATGCCTTTAATGACTTATAGGTTTGGTCCAACACTCGAAGCTCATTCTGTAATCTCCGAAGGCGTCTGTTAGTGTGTGCAGAGGGAAGGCCATTCCAAACACGGCCACATGCAAGTTAACAGTGCATGCAAAAATTTTAAAATTAAATAAAACATAAGACAACAAAAACAAGAAACAGGAATGTGAAGCAGGTATTAGCCATTAGCAATATGGTAGTAAAATTCTTAGGGGGACGTACACACAGGATGATTCTTGTTTTACAACAATAAACAATAATTGTTGGTGTGTATGTTAGGTGCAAACTTCAGAATCTCAGCAGAAATAGAAGGCCATCCAAGTATATTTACTTTATTGTTTTAGGAATAATTTGTATGCAGACATACTACTTATTCGATGTACTGCTTTTTACGCATACTAGATAGTAGGGAAGTGGGCCTATTTGTATACAGGCACAGACCACAAGGCCTGAGGATGCCATTAAGTTAAAAATAGTGTTGCAGAATGATGCATGTCAATTTTGAAACAATGGACCAACCAGACAAAGCTGGGGGCGGGACAAGCAGAGCGCACCGAGTGTTGACAAAAGTAACATTTATCAGTAAAGGCTCTTATACAGGTTACAAAGGACTGTGTGTTAAAAAACGAACAATCTGTTACCGAGAATCTCTAGTGATTAAAGCATTTTGAGTTCTTTGACCTCAGAAAAGTAAAAGGTTATTTAGCGTCTCATGCATTCTGTGTGTACGCCTCCTGACACAGAATCTGTAAGGGTTTGTGAGTGTGTGAAGAGAGTCAGGCACATGCATGAACATGAATGTCTGTATGTGTAGGTTTGTGCAGACAGGCAAGAGTCTGCAGGAACGTCTCGTACCCCTCATTCAGCTCAGCGCGCTCCTCTGTGCGCTCCAGCTCAGCCTCAACGATCACCAGCTTACGGGCCACCTGCACATACACAGGCCAGTTCATGGGAAAATTACATGTACTTGTTAGCAAATTGAGAAGGAAAAAAAAAAAACCTTCCTACACATTAAACGAAAAAACAAACAAACATGAAAACAAAGAAACAAGGAAAAAAGACAAAACACAAAATCAAAAACAAAAAAACGAAAGAAAAGAAAGAGACACACCGAAACAAATATAAAACAAAAACAAAAGCAATAAAACACCACAAGAAAACAAAAAATGAAAAAGAAAAAAATGAAGACAAAGAACAAAACAAACAAAAAAATCCAAACAAAAAATAAATAAATAAAATAAAGACAAAAACACAAAAGACGAAAAAAAATAACACAAACCAAAACAAATAAAAAACAAAACAACAAAGCTATATTTGATCAGATTACAAAATACAGCAAATCTTTTTTTCTTCCCATGCTGAACTGCAAGCATCTGCTTGCTCAAACTTTAAGTGTGAAAGGACATGTGGCTTGGCAGGAAGTCATTAGTTTCTTTTTTTCTTGTGTGCACGCGCATGTGTGGTTTGGTGGCTGGGGAAACCTGCCTCCTCATATTTGCGGTCGGCCTCCTCAGCAATGTGTTTGGCCTCCTTGAGCTGGATCTCCTGGATCTCCATCTTCTCCTCATCCTTCAGAGCTCTGTTCTCAATGACCTTCATGCCTCTGGAAGGAGGAAGCAAGAAATGTAGTGAAAGAGAGAACAAAATCTTTCTATAGCATCACTATGACTCAATTTGGACCAATAACTCGCAACAAATTACATTCAAAGCCGCAAACGTGTCTGCAGCTAAGCTCTGGGATCAAAGACACCATTTTAGTGGAGTTTTCTTGAGCTGTTATTTATTTGTGTGTCTGTCTGTCTGTGTGTTTGTCCTTTATTTTTCTAGGAAGGTCCCTTTGAGATAAAAGGAAATCTCTTCTTCCAGGGAGTCCTGGCCAAGATGACCGTACAAAATAAAATAAAATAAAAACAAAAAAACAAACAAACATACAACACACAAGACAAAATTATATACAGCCCAAGCAAAACAGTAATCATGAATCAACAAATTAATTAAAACAGCAAGATGGTTCAATCATTACACAATGCAATACATTTTTAAAATTATTCAAATGGTGAATTGCTTTTAGTGGAGTAATAGTTTGAAATTCATTCCACAACCAAGGAGCATAGTAAGAGAAAGCTGATATTCTATGCTCTGAATGTACCCCAGGTACTTCGAATTGAATCCTGTTTGATGATCTGGTGATATAGTTTTCTACATAAGCATAAAGGGACTAGTAATGTAATTTGGAAGCATACCCAGCAATGCCTTTACAGTAAACAATAACATATGTGATACTCTTTCTATGTGAAAACCATGAATTGTAAAAATAGACAGAGCAGTAGTCATAGAACAGCTGTGTAAAAATAATGTATTTAGTTGTTTGCATTTAAAACTATTTTCAGTTGTAATAAAGTAAGCTGAAAAGTATAAAAAGAGTCCTGAAGGATTTCAATAGCTTGAGCCACCGAGGATGCAGCTGAATAAATAATTGTGTCATCAGCATTAAAAAATGTAACTTTGCAGATGTTATTCCATCCGTTAGCTCTGTTATCTTCTAAACCTGTGTTTTCTTGTAATATCACAACAGTCCCCATCAGAACAGATGAATGGGAGGGGAAAAGCACTTAAGAGCTACACCAGGTCTCGGTACAGAGTGGTTCTATGCAGGCGCACTGGGCTGGAGACAGAGGGCCTCTGTGTGGGCAAACAAAGGAAGGGAAATGCAGCCTAGTGGCTCTACAAATTGCTGTTTATTCAGGAACCCACTGGCTCTACGCAAACAGCTCACGTCAGTTGTTTAGGCCAAAAACAGCATCACAACTACAACTATCCGCAATGCCCTTGATTTTTCTGCTATATGCAGAGGCATTTCAAGGGCTTTCAAAACTTTCAAAAAACATGTCTAGTCAGTGCATTTTAAAATAAAAAAATGAACAAAAACAAACAAACAAAATACTATAAATTTTACGTTTTTTATATAATTCAAATTATTATGTATTTAAATAATGCTTTA